TTTTATGGATTCCATTTGTTTCCTATGTTGGGATTCCATCATGTTCCTCAGATCCTCAATTTTTTAATCTGTGTCCTCTCTAGATTTATTAATCATGTCTTGCACTATGAGCACAATCTTTGCTGTTATATGAGTAATTATTTCTGATTTCATTTTTCCCAGATCCTCTTTTGTTGCTAATTCAGAGGGTCCAGGTAGTTAAGTATCAGATTGTTCCATCTCGTTTCCCTTTGGGGTTGATGTAGGTGATCTGGAAGTCTGTTTTTGAGACTTGTTTACATTTCTTCTCATTTCCATGGGGTGGGAGGGGCTGCTTCTGGCACCCGCATGGCTCACCTACTCTAGGTTTGACTTTCTTGTGTGTCTGTCTGAGAGTTTTGTACATTCATGTGTTTTCATGATAGCACTTGTAGTTTGGTTTCTAGGGTAGGGCTGCCTTAAGTATTTCTTATAGGCCTGGTCTGGTGGTGATGAATTCTTTCACTTCCACTTACCTGAGAATAACTTCTTTTCTCCTTTAATTTTGAAAGATAATTATGCTGAGTATAGTATTTTTGTTTGGCTGTATTTTCTTTCGATATTTTGAATGTATCATTGCATTCTCTAACAGGCCTTCCCTTATATGTGATCTGATACTTTTCCTATTTTTATAATTCTGTCTTATTATTTTCTGACATTTTGAGTATGGCATGGTGAAGGTCTGTTTTAATTGAATCTACTTGGGGGTCTTTGAGTTTATTGTATCTGGATACCCCTATCTCTTTAAAAGATGACATTTAGCAGTGACTGTTTCAGTGACTTGGATTCTGGGGTCAGGAGAGGCCAAAAGTGGGCTCCTTCTGTGGAGCAGAGCAGTGACTTTTAGACCAGTTAGCCCCTGAAAGGGGATTTAAAGCTTGTGAGGCTTGTGGCATTTGCCTGGATTGAAGACTACCATTCTGCTGCCATGATAGGGATTTCTGGCTCTTTCCCACTTAACCTTTCCTGGCTCTATCAGGTTCCAAGTGTCCAGTTGGAAACTGGGGCTTAAATTTCAGATTGCTTTGTTCTTTTCTCTAGGTAGCCTTTCTCTCAGTGCTATATAGGTTTCCATCACCTTGTGCTAATTTCCAGATTTCTCCCAGACCCTCCTAGAAGTGCAGTTGTTCTGTGTTGCCCTGCTTCTTCTTGTGGCCAAGGTGTACATGTGGGACCTCCTTCAGCCATCTTGACTGTACTTTGTATCTGGCTTCTCAAGGCCTGGCTTTATAAATGGAACATATGTGTAGTTAAGGTTTTTTATCTATATTTGGATCTTTTATTACTGTATATATAGTTTCAAGGAGTAGAGACTCAGTAATCCACACTTCTTTCAATTAGAATATGTTCCTTGGATTCAAAATGGTGTTTTTTTAATGTATCACA